TCTGTCCATCTAACAAAAACCTTAGCACCATACCACTGTCTTATCCTTATCTGTAATTCACAGATTAACTCGCGGAGACGGCAGCAGCAGCAGCAGCAGCAGCAGCAGCGACATCGACAATCAAAATAATTCAAGAGAGCCCATGCCAGAACTTAAGAATTACCATCAATATGGACATAATTTAGGTTGAAGCCAGAGAAAATTGATTCAGTGTCTCAAACAGATGCAAATTGATCCAACAGTATGAGCAATGTTTTGGGGTGTGTGAACTGACACAAAACTCGATAAAGAAAAGGCTCCATCCCTGAGGAGTTGCCAAAATATCCTCGCTGTAGAAGAGTTTCAGTAACAGATATGTTTCCTTCTGGACAAAATAACGGCTCGAAAAAAATTGTCGACAATCACTTTGATCTGAAAGTGCCTTACATGTACATCAGACAATAAATAACATACAAAAGAGCTATCTGCAATTAAAAAAGTCCATAGCATGTCCAGAATACATGTCGATGCCGTGTAAAAACAATGTACATGTATTAAGAACATTTATGAACAATTACATGCTTCAGACCTTGACAATAAGACCTTGATACACATTGGCTCAGTATCAGATAATAAAGACCCACATTTCGAAGATGAAAACTGGCAAATAAACCGATCTTGCCTTACTAATAAATAAAATCTAAGATTGTAGCTTATGTAGATACAAAACATACATATCCTGAGAGATTCCAAAATAGACATATAGATACCTACTGATATATCTACAAATATCTACAAATAGGATAATGTTAAAGCTGGTGGCGATGGTAGTGTTAAATTATATTAATCTTACTTCAAGCAGTCAGACAGAAACATCGTAAAGAACCAATATTCAAGAAATCTATAATCAAGATGGCGAATTCTTAAGACGCTAGTGTTTATCCTAAAGTAAAGAATGCTTCAAGTTATATTGATAAGTTTATTGCAAATTCCTGCAGTACAAAATGACTTCAAAATCTACATAATGAAAAGGGTAATTGTCTAAAACTATAGCTATGCCTAAACCTAAAACGTCTATGTTACCCACAATGCCTCATACTGCACATGCGCACTTCAAGAAATTATTCTTGATGATTCTGCTAGTAGATAGTCTTCATGCCCGATCGTGGAAATTTCGGTCCAAAAATTTCACTTACTAAAAATTATATCTTAATGATGTAGAGCTTATAATTAATAATTAATGTAATCAAGAAAGGTGCAAGAAATAATGAATGCATTGCAGTGAACATTTCACGATGTGGCTTCATAATTAGAAGTACTAACTCTTGATATAATGATGTAACCAATAGATGTGCAATAAATGGTGATAGACAAAGACTGCGTTTTTCGTTTTATTTTCTCCATTTTTATATGTATAAGATTAATTTTTATTGTTTATATGCACATATATACAACAAAAATACATAATCAAATAATAAAAAATGAGGACAAATATGCTGGGGAGGCCTGAAACCTTTGTAGTTTTTCCCAAGCGAAATAGTAAATATGATATTAATATACAATATATACAAATTCCGTATAATTCCGTAAATGTGAATTTAGGAGTTCCTCCTAGCGGTTTTTTGTTTTGCTGCACCAATGATTATTTGTCGGTGGTTGACCAATATTTAATATTTACGAAAATGTATAGTTCCGGAGTCTAGAGTACTTTGTTAGGGACGTTTTCTCGGATAGGATGTAAAGCTTGGGGTCTCGTGTCTGTGGAGAGCCACACCTCAAGAACGTTAAACTTCCCATTACATCGAAAGCAGTAGCAGTCCTTTCCGGTGTGAGTGGTTCAAACCTTAGGCCACACCATCTTAATTTATGGATGACATCCTCCGAGGCTCTGGCCTGGCTCTAGGCCTGGGTAGTCCATAGTAATTAGCGACAATACGGAGCCGGTGGTAACTCCGGAGGATGGCAACAAGGCTGCCGAAACTCCACGACTCAAGAACTCAGTACATACGTACAGTGTCGTATACGTCGCTGTGTACTGCCGCGAATTCACCATACCAGCATTGTATTCCTGTTTTTTAGTAGCATTTTTATTTTTGGCTGGAATTTTTTATTCGCCCGTGCGCACTAATTTCGGGGTCTTCAGAGGATGTCATTCATAAAATTAAGTCGGTGTGGCCTTGCAGTCTGGTCTCATGATTGACATCTTGAAAAGAGGATCAATAGTTATCTGTTATGTCAATCCTTCCACAGTGCGTGGTAAATCTCGATAAATATAAGTCATAAAAGATTTCACCTCACATCCTAGTTGTGTTTGTTTTCTTCCATGTTTCTGTAAACATAAAGTACAATTCATCACTGTCATCACTGCGTCAGCAGGGACACTATCAGATCGACTCATCATTTTCGTCAACAGCTCCACTATGCATGATGTACAAAATGACTAACAAACTGTACTGGTGGACGTCCCAACTACTAAGTACCTAATACCAGCCCAGAAGAGAACAAGAAATAGCCACGCCTTCAAGTACGAGAGTTATCAACCAAGGATTGAGGTGTTCAAGAATTCATTCCTTCCTAGAACTATCCCAGAGTGGAACTCACTGTCACCAAGTACAGTAGGGGCATTGTCATTAGATAGATGTAAACAATGTCTAGAGTTAGAAGTTCAAGGGTTAGGTGTAACAAGTCGTTCGGTCTGATGTAGCCAGCTGCCGCCGCGCCGCGTGCCCGCGAAGCTGGTGTGTTACGCCGAAAGGCGGTTATACCGGCTATACAGATACAGCTCCACTTGAAAGCAGATTATTGATTTTACTTTGTGTTGTATATTTTGATGTACGGAAGCGAGTGCAGCTTTACGCACTGACACATAAACTCTGACCAAGAGCAGCAGTAGCCTCCGTAGCAGGCTTACAGAACTGGGGGTTTGGTGGTCTTCGGCTGTTTTCTAATAAGCCCAGTTCTAAAAACGGGGGTAATTCAACCAGGCCGGCTATGCTGTTTATATGCAATCAGAAAACAGCACATAAAAGCTCCCATAGACCCTGAAGACCCCCCCAAAACCCCCAGTTTTTGGCATGCTATGGAGGCTAGAGCAGCAGTAAATATTATGAGTGGGCCCTTTAGTAGGACCTGAACGATTTGAATGTCCATATCTGGACATTAGTTTACACAATGATTTTAATCTACCTTATATCGTACTGTTTATCGATATTCACAGACTACAAATCTGACGTATTTGCTTGGTACTCACCCGCTGAAAAAACTGGGATTTGCTTTACTGATTGGCTTTATTTTGGTCAGGAGTATGGGGTTAATAGTTTAAGAAATGGCCATACTTAATATGTCAAAATGTTTAAAACATCTGGATGTGCACCATGGTTGACTGGTGGTTGGCTGGTGTACCGGAGTATGTTAGCAGTGTTTTGGGTGTGTTCGGGGGTCAAATTTGACTCAAATTCGATTTGAGTTAAATTTGAGTGGTCCCCCGACCATCAACCTTTGTTGGTTTCTGGTCGAAGGAAGTTCTGTATGTTTGAATGGGTCTTAAGGTATATTTTAAATTCTGCTTGCTGTAATTTTGTCCTAGTCAGATGCATGTAATTTTCACAGACAATGGATACCTTCCAAAATCCGTTTGGGTCTGCAGCAGTGAAAGCAAACAACCTTAAGATTTCATCCTGCATCCTTGTTGACATTTCTTCTCTGTATACTTCCCCAGTAAATATTGAAATATACATTCTTTTCTCATAATTGTTCCCATCACTCTGCTAGATATTAGAGCATTGATTTTAGGACGTTTTGTACACTTAAATGTGCGCAGGATAGGGGATAAACATCATCATCATCATAATAAAAAATAAACAGATGCTCTGGAATTAAGGTGAAGGCGAGCCCCTCTGCAATGATTGCATCAGCTTCCATAGCAACAACAGATATTCCTGTCTGGTGTGGTCTCTTTCAATGCCGGATCTCGTTGCATGTTGGGAGACGCGGTGCACTATGGGCACAACTTGCGCTGACGCAAAGAGCTCCGTGTCGGAGTACGCATCTTGTCCCGTTACCACGTCCTCTCGTATGACGTACCCTGACGATGAGAGTTTATATGTTATTACTAACGTGGACCAATGGAAAGAGTGCTGGGTTTGGGCTTATAAGGGTTTGTGTCGGACAGTCTGGCACATTTGTTCGGGGACACTTGTCTCAAAGTTACCGCGCCGTGCTGTGGAGAGAAGAGAGCGCGGGCGAGAGAGAACCATATAGCGACTGCTGACGGAGGTTGGAATCAACCAAACAGTGTTTCCCTCGGAACACCAAACGGTAAGAGATGTTTTCATACTCGAGTAGTTCAATTAAATTCTTTTTACATATTCCTTCCTTGTGATTTCTTTTGTGTAATTGCTTTTCTAAAGTTTGCCGACACAAGTGCGACACCACCAGGCTTTGCGAAATACGAAAGTTTTTCAAAATCTTTCAACAACTAAGAAACTTGCTCCATGAAGGTTTTAAATCTGGTTTTTAAACATCCTTGCTTCCTGCCGCCTCAAGAACCACCAGTATCCGAAGAGGATTGAGAGAATGAGTGTGTGTGTGTGTGTGCTTGCATGATACACACGTATTAGGCGACGCTTGTTTTAAAACAAGATCATTACGGGTGTATTTTTGATGGTGTCAGATCTTGGTTAGGACGATTCCATGGTGAAATATTCATCTGTTTTTACACAGGAATCTACTCGGCAAATATGGTGTGGAAAGCGTGGGTGACCACTTTGGTGCTGGCCATCACTATCGGCGGTAAGTACCGGCGGTTTCTTTACGAAGAGAGAAAAAAGTTAAAACTTTGTCTAGATTGAGCCTTGTAGCCTAATGGCCGACTGAATGAGCTCATAAGAATCCAGTGCTAGTGCGAGCTCTAGGGGCACCAGTGTAGGCTCGGGTGGCAGTGTGATCTCTGAGAGCAACAGTGTGTTCTCGGGTGGCAGTGCGCACTCTGCAGCAACAGTGGGGTCTCGAGTGATAGTATGATGTCTGAGAGCAACGGTGGGGTCTCGGGTGGTAGTGTGATCTCTGAGACCAACAGTGGGGTCTCGGGTGGCCGTGTGATCTCTGAGAGCAACAGTGGGGTCTAGGATGGCAGTGTGATCTCTGGGGGCACCAGTGAGGACTTCGGGGAATCTGTCTACAATATAGGACGAAGCCTCATGTACATGTAGTAGACTCATGCAACAGGACACAAAAGGTCCCTGCTGGGGTCCAGCTAAAGCCATCGGCCGATATTCTTGTTTATATTCCAAGTTCCAACATGTAATCACAAGATGTGGTGACGGAACACTCAAGTTTTTTCAACTTATATTAATGCTGCCACCAACACAGTGTACAATACTATATTAGTTACTCATTTTCACCTGAGCGAAGTGTTAAATTCGTGTAAAGTGCCTTTCCCAAGGACACAAGATCAGTGGCGGCATGTCAGGACTCGAACCCAGGACCTCTTGGTTCCGAGTCAAGCATTATATAATGAATGTCCTTGAGTGCCAGTAAAATACTGGTTGGTTCCGAGTCGAGCACTCTGCCGTTACGCCACACGACCCCACTTTTTCTGTGCTCAAAAGTGATGCATAGATCTTCTTCAATTCTTTATTTCCATGCATTGCAGACATACAAAATAGAACTATAATGTTGCCTGAATGGCATTGGTTTTTACATCATTACATTAGATATCATTACATATAGTGCTCCTGGAGCTTGAGTTGCTTGCTTTTATCCCGCAGCTGATGGAATTGGGGGCTCCTCCATCGATATAGTCCTCATCCTTGACGACTCTTCCAGCGTTCGGCCGCCTGTGTTCTACAACACCCTGTCTTACATGGTCCAGCTCACCAGGTGCGAGACTGACATCGAAACTGGAGTGAGTCGTTTGTTTTGAACCATACCTTCAGACATTTAGATAGAACAGAAGAATTTGTATGCCTTATGAGAAGTAGACGTTTTTTTCCCAGACAGCTGTTACCTGTCTCCTGTTACTGTGTATTGAGTATTATACTTGATTGTAAAAGCAATTAGCCCTCGGGCATGATTTTGCGAATAAAGTTTCTATGAAACTACTTTTTGGTCCACTTTATCTAAAGGTCCAAGATTTTTCTTTAAAAGATTGACTGATTCGTGTCACCAACGAGGCTGGAATCTTGGAAAACTGCTCACTTTGTCATTGGAAAAAGTTATCTCTGACTTTTTCTTTGAAATCCTCTGAAAACGCAAGAAATGCCATTTCAGAAGGTTCATTTTTCAAAATTTCCCGGGGGAGCATGCCCCCAAACCCCTTCGGCCTTCGATGGTCCCTCAGGCAGTGGGAAGAACCATTCAAAATCCTGCATACGGGCATGAAGTTCTTGCTAAAAGCTAATACTTTTTACTTGTTGAATGTGACACAGATTGGAGTCATTGTTTTCAACTGCGTGCCGAGGACAGAAATCCCTCTCGGCCTCTACACGATGGGCAGCATGCAACTTTCCTACGAGATCTCACAAATAAAGAGACAGGGAGGACGCACCCGGCCCGGCCCGACTATTCGCTACATGAAGGACACGGTAGGACTTCTAATCTTTTTTTTTTTAATATTCCAACATCTAATCACAAGACGTGGCGACGGCACACTCAAGTTTTCTCAACTTATATTAATGCCGTCACCAACACGGGGCAATACAATACTCATTTTCGCCTGAGCGAAGTGAGGAAAGTCGTGTAAAGTGCCTTTCCCAAGGGCACAAGATCGGTGGCATGTCAGGACTCGAACCCGGGACCTCTTGATTCCGAGTCGAGCACTTTGCCGCTACGCCACACGACCCCACAGACTTCGAATCTACAGTGTAGTTCTGAACTGTACAAGTCAAGCTGTTTTCCATTTTCTGATTTTGTTCTAAGGAATGGTGGAATGGCTTCTTTTCCCATTTAGAAAACCTTGAATATAAATATATCATATTTATATAAATGAATCTGCCTTCAGCCACGGAAGAAGGGTGCTGGACCGCACCTAAAAATGTCTTGAAATTCTTGAAAAAGTATTTTGTCCAGCGGTACAGTTTGGATTAATTCCCTATTTCCTAACCTTCATTAACGTAGGCTTCTTGTTTTGTTCTGTTTTTGTTTAGTCCCGTTTCGGTGACGGGGTGTACCGAGTGGCCATAGTCCTGACAGACGGGTTTATTAAAGGCGAGGTACCGTATGACAGACTTTCTACATTTTATCATGGGGTATTAGCTCAAGGTAAAGAGGAATTGTTTTGTGTGCATGTGTGTGTGTGTGTATGTATGTGTGCGTGCGTGCTTGTATGACTTTTGTATGTATGTATGTCTGTGTTCGTGCGTGTGTTTGCTCTACATGTACGTAGGTATTGGAATGCGCTAGGATGGCAAGAAGGAGCATTTTGTAAAACTAAATACTTTCCGAAGGTTTTGAAAGAATTACCTTACTGAACTTTCCGAAGGCCTTGAATTTCCGATTTTCTGTACTCTTTTTAGCCACTAGATGACCACAAAGGAAAAGCAGCAGCAGCCAGAGCCGCCGGGATCACGATGTACAGCGTGGGAGTCGGAGACCGTGTGGACATGGATGCCCTCAATGACATCACCGGTGACGCCAGCAGAGTTTTCGACGACAACAACCCGTGCGATCTCTATCGCAAAATAATCAAGGATTTTGGTACGTACTCTTCGTACGTAAGACAACACTAATGTAGCATTCTCTGGGTTTGTTTTGGATAGCCGGTGAAAAAAAGGCCTCAAGTCGTAACATGTCTTATCACTGTCTTATCCTTATCTTTAAATTCATAGATAAAACCCCCCGCTCTGGCGGCAACAGCATCGGTGACTCCATGAGCAGCAGCGGTAGTGCCAGCGACGGTGGCGCATCCAGTGAAAGTGCGAGCTCAGGGAGCAACGGCGGGGAGCTCCGAGGGCAAGAGCAGTGGCTCCAGCGAGAGCAGTGGCAGAAGTGGTGGCACCAGCGGTGGCTCCGTCGGCAGCGGTGGACTCCAGCGGTGGCTCCGACAGCAGCGATGGCTCCGACAGCAGCGGTGACTCCAACGACAGCGGTGACTCCAACGGCAGCGGTAGCTCTAACGAGCTCGCCGCAGCGTGGCTCGCCCCCAGCGAAGGCTCCGTCAGCAGCGGTGGCACCAGCGGTGGCTCCGTCAGTAGCGGTGGCACCAGCGGTGGCTCCGTCAGCAGCGGTGGTACCAGCGGTGGCTCGCGCCCCAGCGAAGGCTCCGTCAGTAGCGGTGGCACCAGCGGTGGCTCCCTCAGCAGCGGTGGCACCAGCGGTGGCTCCGTCAGCAGCGGTGGCACCAGCGGTGGATCCGCCCGCAGCGGTGGCACCAGCGGTGGCTCCGTCAGCAGCGGTGGCTCCGCCCCCAGCGGTGGCTCCGTCAGTAGCGGTGGCTCCGTCAGCAGCGGTGGCTCGCCCCAGCGGTGGCTCCGTCAGTAGCGGTGGCGCCAGCGGTGGCTCCGTCAGCAGCGGTGGCACCAGCGGTGGCTCCGTCAGCAGCGGTGGATCAGCCAGCAGCGGTGGCTCCGTCAGCAGCGGTGGCTCCATTGGCAGCAGTGGCTCCGTCGGCAGCGGTGGCTCCGTCGGCAGCGGTGACTCCAACGACAGCGGTGGCTCCGCCCGCAGCAGTGGCTCCGCCCCCAGCGAAGGCTCCGTCAGCAGCGGTGGTACCAGCGGTGGCTCCGCCCCCAGCGAAGGCTCCGTCAGTAGCGGTGGCACCAGCGGTGGCTCCGTCAGCAGCGGTGGCACCAGCATAGGCTCCGTCAGCAGCGGTGGCACTAGCGGTGGCTCCGTCAGTAGCGGTGGCTCCGCCCCCAGCGAAGGCTCTGTCAGCAGCGGTGGCTCTATCAGCAGGGGTGGCACCAGCGGTGGCTCCCTCAGCAGCGGTGGATCAGCCAGCAGCGGTGGCTCTGTCAGCAGCGGTGGTAACAGTGGTGGCTCCGTCGGC